GGAATGCCGTAAATGAACAAATAACTCACTGGTAAGGCAACTTGTTAGTTTGGGTCGTGTGCGGTATCGTGACCGATTTATTCACGAATGCATGGCATCCACCTGATTAGTATGGCAGTGATTTTAATTAAATATCATTCCGATTTTGACTTGCTAGTGAGTAAGTCAATCGCTACCCTGTTGGTTAGTGCCTGTTGAATAACGAGAACTTTCTGCCATAGTGCCTATAGGACACTGATTGCTGCACGGTATTGTTTTGCTGTGACATGATGCAATTGTACTCACAAAACAGGACATGCTTAGTCTTGGCAGGTAAGTTTCAGCCTATGTTGCCGAGCCTCCCTCATCATATCACGAACAGTCATTCCTGCGTGCGATTTTTTCGACCCAAGCTTTTACCAACAATCCGAATAAAATGTGTTCATATGCTGGTTGCCCACCTTCAGGAGACAGCATCATCGTCATCGACAACACAGTCTATGTTAAACACTGATGCCCCGTAACCACGCAGCCATAATTTATTCGAAAGCCCTTCCATGAAAAAAGGTGAAGGGGTTGATAGAAAGAATAGCCGCTACTCTTGGCAGTATTCCACGCGTGGACTTGCAAGAACACACTACTCTTCTCATTTCCTTACCTCTTAAATTAGGCATTCTTTTTTATCGGGGTTGTGGCACTCGTTTCTGAATTATTTATTGCCATTCGTTCAAGCCGATACGTGGCGTTTGTGCGTACTAACGGTTTACACTAGGATACTACTGCTTGAACAAACTACTCAAATAAGTCAATGCGAATACTACCGAAGTCTGCACCGCCTTCACCAGTCTGCGTTATTTTTGTTCTCAAAGCAGTATTTTGCTCAAGGCAGGAAGCACTTCCATGTATTTACCAGGTTGGCACACGTAGAACATAAGGTTGACAGAAACTCGGGGACTGTGCCTACCTGATAAACCTCAAGAAGGGCGAAGCCTATCGTGGGTTATCGAAATTTTGCAGTTGCCTTATGAGTAATGTGTCCCCACTAGACAGTGCACAAATAGTTGTTTAGCAGAGGGCTTTTCAGCAACTCACTTGTAGAATGTTTCGGCAGCAAGAAACAGTCATGTGTTACGCATACCTAGTAGTCATATAGCAAGAATTACACCACTATTCATGCCGAATTCAGAACAGCTGGGCTTGAGTAACATAGCCTTATTGTTATACTGCTCTCATCCTTACCATAAATTAGCAAGCCAGCATTCAAACTTTGCCTGCTATATTTGTTTGGGGCAAACGGGCTCATACCAACATTCGCATTTACCTGTCCCTGTTATCCATCCAGCTCCCAAACCCCCCGAGTTATTATCAGCGACTTTCCTGGATTCGAACGACATCCTGCTCAATTGGACTTGTCTCGGCCTATGCGCGAACGTTATTGACCAGTTACAGTACACCATTTGCTGGCTGCTTCCTCAGTTGTCTGTTGAACCCAGCTGTCTTCGGACGCAAACTTTCAATTCTGCTCATCAGGCTTTCTGCAACTGTGGAGTTTCACAGAATTTTCAATCGGTGAGAAGTTGGTTTAGTCTTGTTTTGGTGTTAGCTGTCATAACGAGTCTTTTCATTTCAACCTCAGGTATATGTTTTCGAGCGTCAGCGTCTACATTCTTCGTCCTTGGGTCATATTGGCAACAAAATAGCAGAAGATTGCCATCGTCCTCAGTAGCACTAAATCAGTGTTCAGCACCAATATTCTATTTCCTTACAAGCTATATTGTAAAACTTATCCTTTGAGGTTATCTTAACGTATATATAACTGTCTGCTTCTCTAGGCTTCCGAATCTCTGCCTTGGTTCACAGACCAGGCTTCTTCCGGGAGGAATGTTTCTGTATCGGGTTTTGTACGTCAATGGATTTTCTCCCTTAATGTTATAAGAGAGCTATCGTTATCATGTTAAATTTCGAGACTGAACTGTCCTTTTCCTTTCGTTTTCGCCCCTCACTATTATTCAATGCAGGATTATTGAGCGCTGACTGATAATAGTACCGTTATTTTCACTGACATTGTTATATTCATATTGTTATATATGCTATAAGTAACGCTATTTATATATCATATTGTTATACCTCCCCCTCTAGACTATCCTCCCATGGTCGATTGTGCAACATTCCAAATCAGAAAAGGCTCTATTCACCGTTCGATCTGTGCGCAAGCGTGAGGTATGTCCTCCGGAAGGATCTTGTGAAGTGGAGAGTGTAGATTCAAACAGTGTCCCTTTGGATTTGCGGAGTAAGTTATTCACCCCTTAGTACATGCTCTTCTAAGAAACCAGTCGTCTTGCAACCTCGGCTCTACCTCGTAATACTTTTTTTCACGGCGTTTGATATTTCTTATTTGAGGCTGGGCCATTTGCAACTACTTACGATCTACAAATTGAAGATGATTTAGACTATCCAGGTGGAATTGTTTGCGGACTTATGAAGGTGCACCGTTGGTATCTTTGCCGCTGGGTCTGAGTTTGCTACCCTCGCTTGCCAGAGCTTAGCTAGAGGACAACTGTCGTTTCAGTCGATTGAATCGTACTAACTCGTATAATTCAGACGATAGACGGGGATATGCTATGGAGGCTGTCTTTTTGGGAAAGAAAATACCTCCTTAGGTACCTCACCATGGCCTGTTGATGTCGAAAGTATTCCGCAATTTGTATTGCTGATGAACTAAAAACCCCGTTTTTCCACTCTGGAATTGGGTTTCTCCTTTTTTGGACAGCCCTCAAGTTTCTTCCGGTGTGTTATCAATCAGAACGGAGTACTAGGCTCATACGCTTGGCTGAAATTGGGTGGAAAGTCATTAAGATCCTTATCACAGTAAGTTTAGCCAGCTGGAAACGATCTCACTAGATCTTGTTTATTTTGTCAGCCTAGTGATTGCCTCAGGCATCTTGGTAGTTGGTGAGTCATCAAGTTAGCTACTCTGACATGATATCAATTTTCCAGAAAAGTTCATTGTTTTCACCTCGGATTCATTTTTAATTGCGTGGGATCGTGTTTTCTAGATTCGTATTCCATTTTACAATTAGTTCTATTTCAGACAATCGACCGTTTAACAGTCTTGGTTGGGTGAAGCTTAGATCACTTGAACTCCTCGCTTCATCTACCTTTTGGACATGAAATTTCGTCGTGAGTAGAATTTTTGGGAATAATTTGTGAATACAATTGGGGGAAAAAGGACGTTATGCGGAGGAATCATCAGAACCTCAGCCCGCAATTCGCTTACGTACTAAAAACAAAACCACAGACTCACGATCATCTGTGAATAAGTGTGACCTTGTCAGACAGTCACCAAAATACCTTACGGTGTAGTAGCAGCGTACCAAACCCAAGGCAGTACTTATCATTAATGTTGAATATACCTCAGAACATAAAGACAACTGCCTACGATAAGAATGAAAGCATTCTTGGGTACGATCACATCCCAACCCCCACGCACTGTCCAACCCCCTTTCTTCTGTTCATTCCTTCCACATTCTCAAACGTGTGCCCGATACATGAATGCCTGTTCCTCTATCGCTATATTCAGGTGCACCAGCCCACTGGAGGATGAATTCTAATTCGAACTTCAAACTTGACAATACCGCAATCCTCAGTATCACTTCAATTACGCTACTTGTGTTTGCTTCAGTCACTTTGGCTGCATGCTTTGCCAAGTAAGTCCGAATTTTCTGTTGAATGGCTCATACCTATTGGGTACAGCGAATAATCTACTTTGTTCCATGAAGCGATGCTCATACGTAAGTATTTTACGGAATCAACGTTGTTTCGTGCGTTAGTTGTATCAGGGGTGATGTTCTTATCTCTACTATTCCGCATCTGGTGACAATTCACTTTCTCGAGCTGTGCCAAACTGCTACTGCTTGGAGGCATTGCAGGAAATGGTGGCTAATCGATGTCACTGGCGTTCGTGTTGTCAGTTTCTTTCCAGTTCGGAGGTGTGTGTCCCACAATATACATGCAGCCGGATAGCACCAGGTCCCTTCCTCATGAACTTTTCTCTTGTTTCACTTCAGGCTCTAAGTATAAGTAAATAAATTGTGGATGTACGGCAGTAGAGCATTAGTGTCAACACTGATGTTGCTGATGTTTTGGGGCTGTTCATTCCGAAGCACGGAGACACGCTTATATATGGACGCGAGGTTTAAGCACCTCGAAGTTTTTATTGCGTAGGGAAATCAAGTCTCCACAGAGTTCAGATTATGTATCGATGTTTAATCCACGACCATGGCTTTTTTCGATGGTTCCCATTCGGTACGACTTTTTGATGGCTTGTCTATAGTTTCTTCGCTGTCGAACGTGAGATGTTAGTTTCGTGGACAGTACAAGGGAACATCTACCGCGGAAACTAAATCACGTCATTCGTCCAGGCTTGATGTAGTACTTCAAATGGCACTTTGGGTTTTAGTTCGACTGGCGATGGGCGCATCCTAGCTTCGATCAGCACAGCACTTCGATCGTCCAGTTCTCACTGTCTTGAGAGACGCTGCATGAAAACCATGTGGTATAAATGCCGTGGTAGTGGAAAGGTGAGGGTTTTACAGATGAAGCTCGAATGAGAGGGAGGAAGTGAGATTTTTTTGATAAAGTGACGGAATGTTAACGTGGGTAGAAAATTCAGTTAATGTTTTCATGACATGACGGGTTATGTGTGAATGTGAAAGCACGATTCCTATGATTATTAAATTGTTGGCATTTTTTCACTTGACTCAATGAGCTCTTATTGCTATTTGGACATCTGGTTTTTCAACATACTAGGGTATGTGTTTAGTTTTCCATTTATAGGTTGTCCTTTCTAAAGGTGAATGCCCAACAGTTTCTTTCAGGGTAGGGCTTACCTTCGTTCTACAGATTATCCATAGTCTCTGTCGTCGTTTTCATATACGACCGTCTTTGACAGTAGTAATCATGCATTTGGTGCAACCAACCATTTGAATCACTTCGTCTGATTTTTCTTTACCAGTCGACTGAAATGTATCTTACTCCTCTGTCAACGCTCGGTCTTTTGTCGCCGGTCGACGGAAACTCCGAGTGCCAAGTATCGTCGAGCGGTACCACTTAGACTGAACAAAACAACATACAAGCCGATACCGCGGTCTGAACTACGCGCGTATGTGGCAGCGGCACATGCCGACAATGATGCAGGATTTCAGGCTGAGTTTGAGGTTTGCTTTATTCTTCATTTGCACTTCAATTTGTTTCTGTTTCCCCAACTTTATTACCGCTAGACTGCTAATGCGTGTAACGCCTACTTGTAATTGTTTGTGCCTCCTCTCTCCATAGGTCTCCAAATGTCCGTTTACATTTGTTTGTGTTGGGTTGTATATTCTACTGAGACCATCCTCATATGAAACCATTGTTGGTTGATCCCTTGAACTGTGTAGCTTTCTCCAGGAGAGGTTATCTAAACCCGATCTCTCTATACAAAATAACAACTCAATCAGAAAAGTCTTGGGTTAGAATAGGTGTGCAGGAACGCAGCTACTGTAGCTCACAGTATCACTTCGTTATCCTCTTTCGCGTCACTTGTGCCTGCTGCACCTGGCTAAAGTAGAATGAGAATCTCCATTCGCGCAGTCTGGTGCTATAGGTAACCTAGCAATTTGTTGTCTCTGCTCTCCAGTTAACTTCCCTGGTATAGGGTCGGATAGAGGTCTCTGCGAATTTAAAACCACTCGTTAAAAAGCACATACCTACAATGAGGCAACGGGAACGTAACAATTTAGTGAGTTCTCCACACCGGTGCCGTTCATTCTCCCAAAGTTACTGGTTTACTTGTAATCCTTGTGGTACCACAAAGTAACCATTTTCGATTCACCATTCGAATCCAGTCGAAATGACTCGCGAACACAGTTCGTTCATGTGTGTGTGTTGATGCTGTCAATCATTGTTCTCGTTTATTTATCGCTTCACTTGGTTTCGCATATGCGTCCTGAGTATTTCCTGACGACCTTATGACGCTTACCTATCAACTTCGTACACCTTAAGTGAAAAGTTTTTCTGTTCAACTTTCTAGATGTGACGAGTGATAGCGTATCTCATTAAATTCAGATCAAATCACCCCGACTCGTTTGGCTTTTTCGTTCCAGTCTCCACCCGAAACGCTGCCCATGCCGTTACCGTTCCCATTTCTCTATCTCTGGTCTAATTACAGGCTATCGAACGCACTGTATCTTCGGATTGGACCACAAACGTAGCTAAGTTATCGGAAAATATGAGCAAAAATCGTTATTCCAACGTCCTCGCATGTGAGTCACCCTCTCCGTTTAATTATTATTCTGTCTGATGTCTGAAGTAGATGAAGTGTTGCAGACTGGTGTATGAGTGTGACTTATTCAAGCATACGGTTGACTTTTAGCTACAGACTACTGAGTTACACCATCCTGCTTGTTTTATCAAATCGGTGTCTGTCTTGCGATCGACGTGGGTTGGGTTGAACAGCCTTTAAGATACTCAGTGCAAAAAGTATCCATCTTCATCCCCAACAAGCATTTGCTTGTCACACGCAATTCATCCTCCATGATTATACCAATATTGTGAGATTAAATGAAAGGGAATTTCTCTTGTGCAGGAAATGCGTACTTCCAATCATGATAGACGGTCAATTACCATCAATTATGGTAACATTAGCGAAGAGCATTGCCACGACCGTGTCAGTTTATCCTAACAGAACTATACCAATCGCCGTGCATCAATTCCATCTCCTCCCACTTTCCCTGAACGTCTCCGAGTGTTTTAGCAGCAGTGACGTATGCTTCTCTGCTGAATAGTTGAACTAAGTGCCAACCATTAGTTTATTCGTTACGATTCAATCTTTACTGACATTGATAGCCATCCTATCGATAGACGGATTTTCCCAGGCTGGATTTTTGAGTAAATAGTAGTCACCCACGGACGACAGACCCATAAAATATATAATTTTTTGCTTGAAGTCTGTTTCGCGTAGGTTCATTCCTGGTGATTACTCTCCGGTTTATTAACATTGCTTGGTGTTGCATTATTTTTGCTAAGGTTTCTGTATAAGGACATCTTGAGAGTTCCAAACAGCTTTCCTGGTCGTATCGGAGCTGACGTTGCTGAGCGTTGCGTGTGTTTTCCCGCTGTAAGGAAGCTACTCGCCAGCTGTAGCAATATGATCATAACATCAACAGATATAAGTCGGTAGTCACACAGTATGATTTATAGCCTCGTACAACCAGGTGCTGTTGTTTTGAGTGGTTATGTTTTCATTCCGACCCGCGTGGAACTTAGTGGGAACAGGGCATTTTCAGTAAATTGGTTTTTGACCTGATGTGCCTTTCGAACCTGTCCATTCAAAATGCCCTGTCCCACCTCCTAGCTACAGCGCGTTGTTCCTCGTTTCTTTCTTTGCGAGAAAAGTCCCTATATCCGATAACCTCACTACTAATTCCTTTGTTATCATATTTTGCCTCACAATAGGAAGCTTAGTTGTTAAGTTATCGTGTCGGCACTTTCCTTCTAGATGACCACACTCGAGTGATTCTGAAGGAAGTTGGTCGCAAGAGCGACTACATCAATGCGAATTATATCGACGTGAGTCTTTCCCTTTTTTCTCAGTATCCATTTTCCTTTAAGTTCCCATGGACACATACGACGGTGCGCCTCTTCCTGTCTGATTTTCGTGTATTATCTGCCATTCGTGTCGATGTTTCACTTCCAAATAGTAAATTTCACGCTGAACGAACACCTCACTATGGTAGGTGCTTACTACAAAAGACGGGGCGAAATATCAGCACTCAGGATTGCACACCCAACCCAATGTGTGTAGGGGGCGACGGTTGACACTTTGTTTTCACATCACTCTCGCTTGAATGGAGTTTCTCCGTCCCCTATGCGAATGTCCTGACTGGCCTACACTAAAGGGGCGGAATAACTGCTGCAGAGTGGTGCTTGTCAAACTGAGAGCATTGTGGACAGGTTCGGAAAATCTTGCACCTAACCCCATGCCATTCCCATTGTCACAAAAGGTACCTGAACAGAATAGAGAAATAAAAAGATGCCACTCTGATTACAGTTGGTTGATAAGTTTGTTTGTGTAAGTTCGCCTGATAAGAAGTGCGTATCAGACCTTACTCTCACTTTACGGAAACCTTCACTTGGAGAAAAAAGAATCGGTTTCAAGATACACCGAGTCGCTGGGACACAATCATAGGGTGATATGGGGGTCGCTGTACAGGGACATCGACAGCGCCTCCCCTATAGGTTTTGCACCGTCAGCTTCAGGCTGGATGGGATGGGCTGCAGTCGTCAGAAAGTTTTTTTGGATTGGAATGGTGATGGGCTGCAGTCGTCAGAAAGTTTTTTGGATTGGAATGGTTTCAACTGTCCATTTCGTCAGATCTGACGTCTGTTCAAATTGGCTTCTCCAGTCCCTGTGCATTAAATTACGACCACGACTTCGGTAGTCATGTGGTTCGTACGCCTAACCACTGACCGGGAGTTTATGTTGTCCTGGTGGAGTGTGGAATCCCATTATGACGGATATCGTCCTCTATAAAGTATCGTCATTGAGTCCAGGTAGCACGCGGTTGCCAACCATGAATGCACCACACACTGACAACACCATCGCCACATCCCGTTAGCCCCATGTTTCGCGATGATTGTTTACCGGATGGGAGATAACCGCAAATAGCAGGCACCTATGCGATCCAGTTCACCATAGACAGAGTTTTGGTGGTAATGAGAGAGGTCTAGGTCAATTATTACCATAATGCTCTTGTGCTGATTGTAGAAAATAACGGCGTTTCCCGGTCTATAGCCTTTTTGATGATACGCCCTCAGGGACGTGTCCCTGACCAGTCATCTATCTCAGTAAAGGGCATCTGTTATATCAAACTAGTTCTTGAATATCTTCATGATCCAGTGGTCAGTATGTGCTAGTGTCGTCCACCTGAGTGGTTTACCTACTGTTATACCTGACGATAAGCTATTCAACATCAAGTCCTCAAAGTTGGAACACAGTTGACTCAGCCTGCGAGAAACCTTCCGTTCAGAAGCCATGTAAACGAGTTGTTATTGATTGTATGACATCGGCGTGCGAAACGCTGCTCAAGCCACACTCAGCCAGCAGTAACACTGATTCGTGGGTAAAGATTCAACAGTCTGTACCTTATAATTTAATATGTTCCGCCCTTGGTTTCCTTAATGGGTCTATTGAACGTGAACACTCAGTTTTCACCGCTCCAATGAAACAGTAGCTGATTGACAACGCAGGATACCCAGTCTTCACAATGGTCTGTCTTCACCAACACAGCCCAGACTTCAGATGGGAAATGTCAGTCAGCCAGCCAGCTCATAATTTCTTGTACCATAAACAACCAGGTTTTCTAGATGAGCCGAATGTGTCAAGGGGTTGAATTTTGAATCGGCGATTTTCCGCATTGTGCTACCGAGCACTTTTGTACTGTCCTTGCACAAACTGATAAACACAATGCCTACTCCTTTTGTGATGTGTTTGTTGTTTATTTGGGTGCCCCGCTCTTCTACCTCATTCGGACACAGTTTCTATAGTCCAACATCTTTTCCCTAAAACGTATCTTAAGCGTCTTGTCAGAGTTTATAAATTCAACTACCTAGCAGTTAAGCTTCCTTATGCCCTCCAAACCCAGTCAAGCTAAGTCATCTGTTGATCGGTATATACTCGTTTAAGGAACGTTGTAATCCATCTTCCAGGTGCTTCGGACGATTCATCCACCGACCGGGTTTAGATACTGGAGTAACCCCACGGATTCTACTGACTTTAACTCNCCGCAAGCCCCCCCCCCCCCCCCCAATGACCAGCAGCTCCATATTCACAGAAGCACCTATGTTGCCTTCCCTGAGAAAGGTGGGATGGAAAAGGTCAACCTTGAAAACCACACAATCCTATCGCCCAAGCGTCCACCGTTACCGCCGGTGCATTACTCAGTACGATCGAAATACATTGAACACATACCGAGATCCCGATGCGAAAAGGTCAACCTTGAAAACCACACAATTCTATCGCCCAAGCGCCCACCGTTACCGTCGGTGCCTTACTCAGTACGATCGAAATAATTGAACACATACCGAAATCCCGATACCCCTCCAAAAACGTCTGATATGTACAGTAGTATCTTGCGCAAGACGTTTGTGCCTTGCTTGCCCTCGGGTTAGGTTAGATCCGCGTTACCCTGTGCGTCGAAGTTCTCAGGGCCGGGGTATATCATCCACCTTTACAGCTTCTCGTTTATTTGCCCCCACCTTCTACCACGTGATGCGGATCACTCCTTACATAAGTACCAGGTGTTATAACATCTCTACAGGCTTTGGTTGTGCATCCGGTAGATTATCAGGTGGTTCCACAACCTGTCCTGCAAATCAGGGTTATCTCATTAATTACCTCCCTAAAACTCGCATTTTCAGTCATAGTGTGTTTATTACTTCCATTCAGAGGACCAAGTATTTTACGACCAAATTTAAAGACTTTTTGCTGAATATCATGGGTATAAAATTGGAGGAGGGAACAATCTTGTTTACGAACGCAATTTCAAACTGTTGCGTGGTATTTCGGCTGATGAAGCCCACTTATTCATTTTCCCAGCTGTTCATGTTTCTTTCCAGGGTTATCACCGGCGTGCGGCATACATTGCTGCTCAGGGACCCATCCCTGCTACTTTCGACGACTTCTGGCTGATGGTTTGGGAACAAAGTTGCAACGTGATTGTTATGATCTCAAACTTCATTGAACGCGGGCGGGTGAGTTTTTGCATTGCAATCACTAGTGAGTGCTACCTCGCTCGGTCATGACGCGTCTGATTTCCGTGCCAGTGAATGTATAGCCGATGCAAGCCAACTCACTGTGATCTCGGTGATATCTGTACAGCTTCTAAACACATATTAGTGGTACTTGTGTGTTCGAAAGAAGTTTGCGCTCCTGGTGATTAAACCAAATATCCAAGTATCTTTCCAGATTGTTTTCTCGTCACAGCCTGTATTCGGTTGATTGCGGTGACATTGCCGACTTAATTGAACGCCCAGTTCGTTTTTCGTCCCATACACGTCCGGTTTGGTGCGCCGCTGTGCGAAAGTACCGCGGGTGAATCATACCAGAAATTTAAGCTGCGAATTGTCGTGATATTTTTTGTCATAACCATTTCGATACTGATTGCTTCCTGCGTTCATCCGTTTGATCGGTTTCACTGACTTGGTTTATTCATTCTGACCATTTTTTCTCCACCATTCAGCGCAAATGCGATAAATACTGGCCTACCAGTGGGCAACAACTCTACGGTAACATATCCGTGAGGATGGTTTCTGAAACAGTTCGCGCCTTCTTCACAATCCGTGTGTTTGTCATTCGTCATGTACGATGCAAAAGAGTAAGTGGATCTGTTTCAAACGGAGGCAATCTCAAATTGATAGACGGTAAACGTGAGAAGACAGAACTGGTTGTTCTATTGTGATAATATCGATTCAATGTATAGAGTGTCGTAATTTCTGGATTGCATTGCTTGTCTTGCTTGGGCGAGCTAGCTTGATTGTGCTGCTGCGCTCCTTTTAAACCATTGCGACGCTCCCCAAGTGTTTGATGCCGATTTGTCTTGCAGTGACCAGCTTATGTTGCAATGTGATCCGCAAACTGAACGGTATTACATGCACGCTATGGATCTAACAGGCTATGAGCATAACAGAAATAAGCGATTATGGTGTTTCGTTTTAGGACTGTGTGATATTCCCTTTTGTGGTTACTCCTCGATCGCCTGTTCTCTTCCATTTTACTGTGACAAAACGAACATATGTTATCTGATAGTTGTCCGTATTTCGATACTCTCAACACAACACTAGAATTTTGCCTGTCAAATGCCATATGACGAAACGGGTTTTTGGACGGGGGAGCATGTGTCTGTTGCCACCATTAAGTGTGTTATCATCCAAATGATGTATGAATGTCTGTTGATTCGAACCTGGCGAACGTAGGTTGCTCTCTATCTCACAAGCCTGTCTTCGGTTGCTGTATGACTGGAAATCAATCCATGCTCGTCAATACCAATTACCAGTTCACTGCTTTTTGAGGATTTTTCGGACTCCCATCTTTCCTATAGCCGTTTTCCAATCTCTCTAGCGCACACTTTAATACGGTTTCGAATAGCTAGTTCTTTCTCGTATCGTCGTCTTTGTTGATTCGGTTGTCCTTGGGTCCTCTACACGTTGACGTACCGGAATCTGATACCCTGTCCGCTCATTTGGCTCATGCAGTCTAGGTTAATTCTGTCTGATTTACCCGTGTCTGAACTGAAATGCCTACTTATCATAATACACTTCTTAGCCAATTTCTGGGATATTTTCCGCTTTTCCTGTGTTTTCTATCGCACATGACGTTGACGATATTGTGTGCTATAACTTTATAACCCTTATTCCGATCGCGATAACCGCAGATCCAACCCAACGACACGAACGATATGCAGGAAATCAGTCTGTTGCCAACATGTACCTTGTCACTGTTGCGCATCTGTTTATGCCATTTGTTTCACTCCTGGCTTGTGTCAGTTCAAATCTGGCGCCCAGATGTTCGTGTGTCCCGCTAGTTCCCGGTCATTTCATTACTCGGTACCTAGCGGATCTGGAAAACAAACCGAGGTGTGTATTTTTTCCCGGTTTAAGGAGGGTGGATGTTATCACACTACTGTTTCCACTGAGAAAGCATCTCTAGAAGGTGCCAGCATGTCTGTTCGACAGGGACATGTTTCGTGATGGATGAGTATAGGCAACCGTGTCGTACCACTGCTGTATCAAAGTAGGTGTCTCCTAGTGTTTGAACAGTTTTCGTTCTGAGCATCGGATGCTCCGAATTCTCGATCATCTTACATGTCCTTGGCTTGCCAATTTCATGCGGCGCCTGTCAGCTTCTAATTTGGATGGTTATTGTGAACGATAGGTTTTCATGAATATGCGTGAGTGAAAACTACGAAGCAAGATGATTTGCTTTGATACCTTGTAATGAGAGGAGAACAATGATAGTTGGTGGGATCTGGATATCTATCAAGTTTTCGTTCGTTGCTTCAATCTGCATTTTCCTGGCCTATGGTCCGTATCATAAATGTTGTTTGTGTGAAACACTGGTGCTGTGAATATATCCTGGGCTTCTCATAAGTTTGTGCTTTTATTCACTCTTCTTCACCTGAAGAGAACCCGGATTGAGCTGGTACATTTTTTAGCATGCTGCTCCTCGTCAATTTAGGTGTTTAGATTGACATTATCCCGACAGGTAGAATATTGTTATCACCGCGAGTGACGCGTTAAAATGTGTGAATTCACAGTCACGCCCTCTGTTTCGAGATTATCGGACTACGGGGTCACAGGCAGTTCGCCTGCTCATCAGTAGAATATTTTCATCAACTGCCTTGTTTCTTTTTCGAAGGTTCCTTGCCCTATATCTCAAATCCTTTCTCGACGGTTGATTCTCTTTTGTGCAGGGAAGTAAAGAGCGCCTGATCTACCATTATCAGTACACCGATTGGCGAGATTTCGATGTACCCACATCCCCACTTCCAGTGCTCAAGTTTGTCGAAACTTCCATCTCGCGATGGTCCTTGGAAGACGGTCCTATTGTGGTTCACTGCAGGTAGGCGATTTATCCTGCTCTCCATAGTATTTTCTCCCTCTGACTCATAAGACATTTGTTATTCGTCATTGATAGTATAGAATGACTCCAACGATTTCTCAACACTATTGTAACAATATTTGTTCAGAGTGGTCAATACTTATCCAAAGTTAAGCACTGAACTCATTCGCCAACACATGGATTTCTGACAATCGAGCGCTTATCGTTAACTTCACTTTATTCAAGAAAAGTTTTTTGGGACCTTTTCGGACCAAGAAGGGCCCGTTTCAGTGACTGCAACATTTCCAACCGTTCACCGGAACAATGACTTTCCTCACCGCACTACCAAACGGATTCGTTTTTTTACTGGCGACCGTCGCGCCTTTTAGCTACTGGGCTATCTGTATGAAGTTGCGGCAAACTTATACCATTGAAATCTCGTCCTCTTCAAGACAATAGCCACATGTGAATTTGCTAGTAAATTCCACGCAGCTACGGGCATTTTCCCCAGTTTTATTTTCTGCATGCGACTAAATCCTCAAAGTTTTATTGTCTCCCTCGCGCGTAACCCACATGGAGCTGCTTCTATAGGAATGTTTGCTTTTCATACTTATTTTGAATTTTCGTGGAAACCACTTTCATCATCCCTCATCCTGCTCAGTTCACTTCACAAGGTACCGGCGGTGTACGAACTTCATTGCTTCTGCAATTCCGCTATCAAGTGTGTGCAGTGCTGAATTGATGTTCGGTAACAACAAAAGGGTTGCTACGTCAAGCTGACAACCAGCATGTACAGTATCTCTCGTTGCCTTCCCAAAAAAATTCTCTGCGTACTGGTAGTCAATTTTCAAACAATTTTCAAAAATTTTCTAAACATATAGGCAGCTTCAAATCTAGTCGGTGTTGATTATAACAATATACCATGGAATTTTGGGTGGACTGAACAGTAACCAGATGCACTCTAGCCAGCTGGCGCCTGGTTTTCCAATGTCTCATGGGTACACACTAGACATGACCGAATAGTTAACAGATTGACTCATAGTTGTATCACTTACTTTAAGGCATTTTTTCCGCAAAAGCATGAGTCAGCTCGAAGAATATCGTTATTTCCACCGAAGCGCGATCAGCAGCAAGGTCTTGTTTGCACTAGCTGACATTCTTCAGGCGGTCCAGAAAACCGGTGTGCATATCAGACAGATGAGTGTGGTAGATTTAGGGAGAAGCTGGCCCAAATTTTTGCAAATCGACCCACGGTCTGAGTTATCCAATGGGGGCGAGATGGCCCAAGTGGTTAGGGAGCGAATTTACTGACCGGAAAGTCCGTGGTCCGAACCCGAGCTCTGCCTCCCGACTTCCCCTGTCTAGGCTTGGGCAACCTGGCAGTATCCCAGCCCTCGTACTTCCTTCTGGTGGCATGGCAGTTAGGCACCGAAAGGGTGCTGCAGCTGAGAGAAAGAAAGAAAGAACCGATGGTGTCTTTAGATTTCTAAAACTCACGGGAGACTCAAAGGCCTGGGCCAAGAGTAGTCTTTTCTTAGAGGTGGTCTCCGCAGAGGAGATAACCACAATTTGTGAGTTCTCCCTCTTTTACTCTCCCATCCAGTCGATCTCTCACGCTCTTAAAAAACGGCAGAGTTGAAGTACCCAGAGTTATTGCTGTTTAATGTAAGCATGTGGGCTGATATGTGACCAAGTTATCCGTGCCTTAACAGGATTAGTCAAGATGGCGAAGTCGTCTTCGAACCACGGGCCGTCAGGTCAGGAAGTTCACGCCTTAACTTTTGAACCATCTCTAGCCTATCACCTTAGTTACAGATAACTCTGTGTATGCTTCCGTATCAAAGGTAGCCTTTTTCCTCGTTGATTATAATGTATGTTTAGTCTTAAACGGTTACCCCGGGACTGGTGGTTTTCCCACAAGCGAACAACCTAGACTTTCTGTTGCCCATGCTGGGTGGTGCTTGGATGATGTGTTTGTTAACTTTTCTTGAGGCATTGTTCACCCCTTGATCTGCGTCGCTTTTGGATACTAGGTGACACTGATTGCTTCCTTCAAAGTCTTAACTGCTCAACGAATCTTCTTCACTCGGGTCATCCTGTGAATTAAGAGACATCGTCAAATTGCAGATCACGGGTCACGTACTTTACACAGTTTACATTCACTTGCTGTTCTGGCAGTATCTTAGCCCCCGTGGCATGGCAGCTAGGCATTGTATGGTTTTTTATCAGCTGGTATAGTGTTCACAACCTTTGTCTACCGAGTTTTTGTTTTCGCCGCGCCATATGCGCTATACTAGCTGTCTGCCTTGGCTACCTCTATTTCAGTGCTGGCGTTGGTCGCACAGGCACATATATATGCATTGAAAGCTTGATTCGTCAACTAAAGGTGGAACACGTGGTGACTATTCGTAGTTTTCTGGAACACATCCGGCAGCAGCGAATGAAGCTGGTCCAAACGGAGGTAAGCTATTTCAGTCTTACTCATTTTCTTCCCGGGCATTTTTTGTACCTTGAAGATGAAGCCTGGACATAATGTTCATCAGCAATGTTCGCCTCTATGGTATGATCGCTTGCGGTCGGCCATACGAGCAATTGATATGCACTTGGTGTCTGTATATTTTGTGAATCACTTTCCGCCTATGTAATTTCTGTGCCTAATCTCTTCAACATGTAGTCGTGCTGAGTCTGGATAAAGTTTATTTACATCATCCCAATCTAACCGCGGATGACAAATGACCAGTCATATCAACCTTTATGTCATCGCTTGTTGTGTATAGCTGGATATGTGACCAGTGTTTTCCATACAATACGTCAATCGATCACGTCCTCTTCCCTGCATTTTGTTGCTCAGCAACAATACGCCTTCATCCACGATGCTTTGCGAGAGCACGTTCTACACCCGTGCCACACGATACGCCCAACTCACTTCGCAGACTACCTACAACACTTACGTGAGTTAGACTCATCCGGTCGATCCAATCTGGAAAAACAATATGAGGTAAGCATTGGAGTTTTCTTGACACCCTTTTGCTCTACGTGAAATTTCGGTTCATTTTGAACCTGTTTAGTTAGACATTTATAGCTCAAATTGTCGAATATTGGTCGAAAATGAAACAATTCAGAAAGTCAACCAAATTTGTGAAACTTGCCACCAGGATATATACCACAACTGACCTAAATATTGTCGTTCTCTCCTTTAGCCGAGTGTTGTATTTTCCGGCTCACCACTTCATCCAGAAGTTCCAGTTCGGCTTTAAGTGTGAAACCATTTTATTTATAGGTCGTATATAGTAAGTATGAAATTGTGGGAAGGTTGGAAGTCTGTATTACACTATAATAATCATCATCAACATAATAATGCAATACAGACTTCCCATCTTTCCACAACTGTCCCCTTACTGCAAATGGTCGCTTAGTAAAATGGAGTGGTAGTTAAAATTTTTTTCTTATCCCTCTGAGCCCCTTAAGTTCGTTTTGATAAAGAAGTTATTTCACTTCCAACTACGTAGTTTGCATAACTTACGAAGCTATGTGGGAACACATTGGCTGATGTCAGCTAACCTCCAGCAGAATTCTGAGTCGGTCATTTGTGCTGTAGAATCGAATTCCAAACTAATGTGTCTTGAACGGTCTCCCGGATGACAAATAACTAATGGCACCTTCAACGAGTACACGTTTTGACAGTGCCTTGGCCTGCCAAAAATGAGAAAATGCTTCTTGTCGTCACATTACCCCGGACCAGCTGTGGATTTCCTTTCTGTTTATCTTTCATGCTCAGTAGTGTACACGTCCAAACGTTTTCGTCCCACCAGACTGTCTAACCAGTTTAACCTTTTTTCCAGATGTGTATTGTCTCTCCGTCTGAATCCACAGACATGTCAAGGTCAACAAGGACGTTGACTAGTATGGGAAGAAGAGGCTCCTGTTCTCTTTACGGTTAGTACTTGAATTGTGACCGGGTGCTTTCGATTCATCCTACTTTGGTGTGAATGTTATGCTTAACAAGTGGGAATGCGGATGAGCACAAAGGATAGTCTATCGTAATTCATCCAGTTTGTTTCCAATTAAAATATCCCTTCATGCACTTGCTTTCGTTGCTGGTTCTGAATGGCTGGAAACTAAACAGGAACAGCTGGAATCAAGTATAAGTTGTATTCTCAAATTTATGAAAACCTTTACCGATAGACCAATCGCGACAGTAGTGCTGTGAAGGTCCACTCGAATGCTTTCGTTTATCCCGAAATTTTTAGAGGTTAAATCGGCTTTCGTCTGTGTCCCAGCTGAGCTTACTTGTTTGCCCTTTTCGGTGAGATAATCAAGTTTGGTGTTTTTTTACCTCATAGCTCGGTGCTTTATTTGGCTTCAAGAAACGAAGTCTTGCATTATAACGTCGATTTCGATTGGCTCTTGAAAACAAAGCGTGTTTAGGTTTTAGGAGCTGACTTCCGCAAACTATCTTCTTTTCGACTCTTAGATGTACATTGTTCAGACAAATGGAACGTTTCGGAGTGAGCGCTCGGCTTAGGATTGTAGAAATCCAAATATAAGTACTTTTGGAAGTATGGTATTGTGATTACTTCCTAATTTTCATGAGAATTCCGGTTACCATTACTGGTCCTAAACCACACCTCTTTCAACGTCGTCAAAAGGACTCTTCTTAGAAAGGCTAAAAAAAAGTTGATTTTCTGCGTCTCCAGAAGTTGTTGTAGCATGAACGCTTGGTCCATGCAACTGTCAACCCGATTGGAAAACTAACCTGTACTTCATCGCGACGAACACAGTCGACGTAAAATGATGACCACATGTAACTTAGAAGCAACATCGGTCATACTTATGGCGCAGTGGTATCGAGGGCTGAACGGTGACATCTGTGGGTAGGAACGGTACTGATAGCACCTCACACTGCAAGTGTTCCAAATGGTGTCCAGCACTACTGGGACTTTTGAGTACTACATGCGGTTTCTTCGCTTTGGGTTATCTTCGTACCACAACTAACTCATGAATAATGGGTGGATCTGTATCTAAGGGTTATCGTTTATTACTGGAGAGCTTGAGGTTAGAAGTGAAGACCTAGAGCTATTTGAGCCGCTTTCTGAAGTACGTCCTTGATATCCAATTCGTCCGCATAGAGTGGTTATTAGTTCATTTCCTTCATCAGTGAGTATCATGCACACTGGTGGACAGCCTAAATGAAGATGGAATGGTTCTATCGTCCGTGTGAAATCGCTGCGACCCCTTGTCTCCAGCATCAGGCATCCTATTTACTTCATTTGTTTTTAATTATTTTTTTCCCTATAGGGACGACTGATGTTTTGGGTATCAATTCGTCCACATTACATGGGTACCACATGCTGTCGGAATACATTGTGGCCCGTCACCCACTTGCCGGCACGGAAACCGAATTCTGGAAGATGGTATGGGATCAGAACTCTTCCATCATCGTTTGCCTTTCTGGTCTGGAATTACCACCATTTTGGCCTCAAAAGGCGAATGAGGTAGGACCCTTTCCCTTTCTGATTGTACGACCATCCTGTAGTCTCATTTTGACTTCACTACAACATTTTACATGATCTAGCTCATCTAACTTTGACTGGCTTTCGAAAGACACACTGTTCCTTTAAGCTTGCCATACAAGAAGCGTGACTTTCGTCAGTTATGCCGCGGTCGCAACCTCACTACATTTGCTCTGATTTCAGCCTTCGACCTCAGATCACATTTGATCGTTTTGGGCTGTTGAGGCAAAACAATTAGTTTGTACGTTTTAATGTAAGGAATAGATCAGTGTTTGTAACTTTTTAGAATTAACAAAAACTCGAGGATCTCGTTCTTCGGTTTCTTCGGTTGCTGGTACGAAAGTTCACTAAAACCAGCCTATTCGCCAACTGGATTTCGGCAATCATGATCAAATAAGTGTCGTACCATTGTGGCCATCATCACTCCCACTGCATCATCTGAACATACAGTTTCCGAAGTTGCCAATTGTGAACTAAAACTCATGGCTGATGTATGTACCAATTTGCCGCACAAGTATCACAGTTGTTTGAAATATCCCTATGCCATGTAACAACAAGGCCCTCCCAATGAGATGTAACGTTTTGGATTTCCCGTCGTCTGTAAGGGGCGAGTAAATGTAAATTGGTTCAATTCAATAACCGGTGCTGGATGTCTGGAATAGTGAAGCCGTTGTGAAATCGATGGGTCTGTGAAGCCGATCAGTGCTTTTCCGGCCATGTACAAATTGATTTTGTGCACAAAGCTGGGTCCTAAAAATACAAATGCCGTTTGTTTCTGTATTTAAAAAGACGCTAGTTTTTGGAAACATTGTATCCCAATTTGCACTTGAAAAAGTGACAATCAGTTTCAGTTTCATTTCTGTATCCGGTATCATGGAGTTGCGTTGAAACAGAAATGGCCAGATGGCTGAATGGTTCGGGCGCGAATTCGCTCACCGGAAGGTCCGTGATTCGAACCCGACGTCTGTATCTAGGCTCGGGCAACCTGGTAGTATCCCAGCCCCCTTCCTTCGGGTTCCTTCGGGTTGCATGGTAACTAGGCGCCGAAGAGGTGTTACAGCTGAACGATTGATCGACCATTTGATTGCTTAAAACAAGCTGTTTTCTATAGAGCAGAATGTCGGTAGCTCAGGTAGCGTAGATGGTCGTTGGCTTGTTCGCTGAGCTGGGCAATTTGGTTGCAAACGTTTCATCACCAATCGAGGTGGCATCATCAGTGCGTAGTTGTGCGTAGCGGTGGGTTAGCGGTTGTGCACACTAACCCGGGGTTGTTTAAAAAACAATCCAGTGAATATGCTTTTTAGGTTGTTCTAATGGCTGTGGCAATTTTGACTACGGTGGACATTCCGCTATGCCTCAAGCAGCTGGTTGCGCACTATGCTAAAGCTCTGGGTTCGGGTTACATTTGGACATGCAAATAAACTACTGCGTAAGTACGTATGTCTCCGTGCGACACCTGGTAAGCAGGAAGGCCAGTAAGCCATCGAATCTGAACAAAACAACCATCTTGTATCACATACCGTAGTGAACTCTCCGTCAACACAGTAAAGATGTGTCGAGGCCTAGTGATCTCAAGTGCGTTAATCGGCTGTTGATCAGGTAGCAAGTGCAAGCTCGGTGAACAGATCAACTTTCGCCTGATCAACACTTAAAACACAATGGAGAACAATTCGAAGAATAGGATGGTGAACAAACGAGCAATACCTAAGCAATTTCTTTTTTGACGTTCATATCGAACATATCCGAACAACCATGCATCTGACAATCTCCATGTTGCTTTTCTGGCGAGCAGTGCGCTTATTGCTGTAGATCAGCGCGATATATCCAGTATGTTCACCTAGCTTAATCTGTTCCAAACAGATCTCTCTTTCTTCATGTATTTTTAAATCGATAACAGGTCCGGCCCTCTTTAGGATGGCTCTTTTGATTCTTACTGCCCCATGTAATTTCGTTTTTATGTCCCATTAACTTTTCACTTTCCGCTCCTGGATCCCAGTTTTCTTTTTCGTGAAAAACCTTCGTAATTTTTCGCAACATGCCTTTGATTCTACTTCTAGCTTATTGATTCACTTGGGGAAAGCTGATGAGATCTCACAAACATGAACACCGAATGATTGTCAGGTTTTTTATCTGTGTACAGCTGTCACTGAATTGCTCCACTTGCTTCCTATAGGTTCGCGATATCGGATGGCTTCACGTCAGTTACGCAGGAAGCAGGGCTTACAGCGATGCTGTCACTCGCTTCGAATTCTTGCTCACATCGGATCGCGAGGACTATGCTCTGGCTTGTACGTTATGGAGATTCTCCGGATGGCCATCGGTTGCATTCGAAAACACGGCGGAACTGAATTTGGCCCACGCCCTTTTAGATCTGGCCACGCATGTAGTCGATGACGATGATGAGGATCTGCAAGGTTCAACCGGACCTATTGTCGTTGTCGATAAGTAAGTATTGCCGTTTGTACTACCACTTTTCCCGAGTTCACTAAGGCTAGATAAGGGAAGAAACCAAATGTTCGCCGTCTGAAGAGGTGGTATAGTGTTTCATGGTCACCAAAAACAAAATTGCGATTGATAGCCACTAATTCACTAGTTTTTCCGTGATTTTCACTAAAACACTTGCATGGGATTACTGACTACTTTTGGGGTTAACCGCTAGTATCTCCTATGTTGGGATGCTATCAACACTATTTCAAAGCACATACGTGATTGACTAGTTGTCTGCTCACTTATCTGTCCGCGACATTACAGGTGGTATGTTGGGTGTCGTTCATATGTGTGTTTTGGCCTCGCAACCTAAAGGATGCTGGGCTTATCCGTTCTTTCGATCCTCCATCGTTCGAAGTGAATTAGCCAAGAGTAGATGGGACCCATATCACAGTGTCACCTCACCATTGTACAAATTTTAACTATCCACCTACTGTTAGTAAGCCCAAATGTTAACGCCAATCAATGGGACTAGTAGTCAAATTAATAGTCACGATGTGGGAGGTCTTTATAGCATCCCCCACTCTAGGTTTGATGCTTATCAGGTACTTCACAGGGACCGTGGCACGCATGATAACCACTCGATTGTTCCCAACTTGTCGATCTTGTCAAGTGAACTGAATCAGAAAATCCCCAATGACCACGCGCAGGCGTGATCACTGGCCAAGTGTCTCTGTGGTTAACAATTAAGACCTGTTAACCACAATATCATGAGACTGGTCCTGTTACGTCCATTTCATGGGTTGCAATCTGAACAAAGTTGCATAATGGGTTGACTCGTAGGACTAAACGCAGCTCACTTTGTAATTATATTTAAGTGCCTATGGGGTCGTTCACAATAATACTCGAATTTTAGGAATAGCTGTCCTACTGCTTTGGATCAGCCTCTGTGTAATAACATGTCTTGAGGGAATTCGAGGTTGTCTTTGCTAAAAGCCGAGTGGGATTAGATCTGAGAGGTTAAGGTAGCCGTATTCTTCTATTTTCGTCAACCATGAGTGAATGTTAAGGTGAGATCATGCCACTTTTAAAGCCGAGTGGCGATGACATTGAATATCACACTTGACTGTAAACAGCTTGCATGAAGTAGGATAGGCAATCGATTTGGAAGTTCAGTTTCCGGAGAACAACTTTTGTCATAGGTGAACTACGTGAACACATTCCGGTTTAGATATTATTCCAGCCTTACATATCTCATTGTCTTCACTGTATTATTCGGTCCTGTGATGAAAAATAGCAAACTAATAACAATGGTCCAACAGAACGCGCAAAAGTTCCTCGTTAAGACCTAATGTAAACCCAAAACACTTCATTGGTTAACTGACTGCTACTCGAGGCGATCTGACCTTTTGTGCGTGCCAGTCACACCGAGGAGCTGAAACTGAAGACCGAAACAGGTTTGAGGCCTGTTCACCCAAATTTCAAACTACCGGTGAAAGGTCATCAGAAGCGTTGCTCCTCATCTCTCCCCACCTAGATTTCAGAACACTGGAAGAGACATGACGGTGTGCACCGGTGGCCATGGTCCTAATCAGTCACGTTTGCGGAAGAGTTCAGATAACTAATTTTCGCGTTTGGTTGGAAACTAACCATTCCCGTAGAAGGCACTTGACCAGCAGCCTCAGTTCAACTCAGTACCAGTTCTGATCATCGAAAAGACTGGCTTGAAGCCTACATGTTTTACCCAATTTACGTTCTCAAAAGCTGTCTAATTAGTCATCTCACCGGAGTATCACAATCTACGACAATATACAACACCCTCTCAAGAAGTGATCGAAAGCTGAGCCGAAATCGCGGAAAATATGGAGCCAGCTGCTAACGCAGATGTTTTCGTAAACTCTTCGGGCTGATTTGCAACGCGTAAGGCAAGCGTCCAACTCAGGAGTCCAATCTCTGTGATGCAACAGGTCTGGTCACTAGAGTCTCCATTGCTCAGTAGTCCGGGGCACAAAACATTTAATTGGGTTGTTCACTCACTCTGTAGATTGTTTCTTTGAATTCACATTTACAGTTCCTCTGCGTATGACATCCACTGCTTTTCCCCAACAGGGGTGAAAATCGCTCAAGTAAGCGATAGCCTGATATACAGGAAATTCCCTGCAGACAGCTGACATATACAAGACTTGTACATCTAGATCACTCAAGGCCATTCTACAGTTTTTGGTTCCTTAAAAAACGACGAAGTAATCTCATCCGGTTGAAGTAAGTTGATCGCTTTCACGCTGTCTTCCATCAGAGCATCAGCTCTGTCGATGCGGTCATGGAAATATTCTCAATACCCGAGGTTGATTTGGACTTCTGTCATCAGACGTACATACACCTCATGTATTTGGGAGGGGGCTCCGTTCCGGTAAGGAATGCCTCAGAGATCAGGGCATAAGTTGTTTTCATTAATCTTGTTGCCTCTCATCGATTCCGCCCTTTGACCGCAGTACAATGTGATGCTGCGTGACAGAATCCCATCTAAGTTTGTGAAGTCACTCTTCCACCAAAGTCCCAATGACGAGATGGATGAGGACAAAGGATACGACGGAGCTGTTGTTTAGTCCGTCGACTAGATATCAACTAATGCCCTCAGAGGCTACGCTGGTGTGTGGATCTCTGCATCTCTAAACATTTGAAATGGGGTAAGAAGACGGCGTTCTGGTAGTCCATATCCGCAACAACATAAGGTCAACTAAGTAGACATGCGTTGAGAAACTGATTAACTTTTCGGGAGGACGAGTCGAATGTATGTCAAAAGTGTCTTTGATAATTAGTGTACATATAACGACCTCTTGCAAGTTTATTCCTGATCTGCTTTTTGTTGTACGTGCACATCCTCAAATTGAAGCACCAGCTCCGGTTCATTTTCTTTTTTTCTGTCCCACTTCCCAGTTCTGGCGGAAATCGTGTTGGAACCTTCTGTGCCCTACGCATTTTAATCAACCAACTCACGCACGAATTTCTGTTCGACGTATACTTTGTTTTTAAAATGTTATGCGTTCAACGACCTCGAATGTTCCAATCTCATGTGAGTTCCTTGCCCCTATACATAATTTGCTCTAACCTTTCAAATGTTTGAATCGCCGGTCAGTGATACTACTACTAATATCGTTTATTTTTGAAGAGCATGGTCACAGACAAAAAGTGAGTGCAACCGATGAACGCGGTACTGCCAGGTTGCTCAAGCCTAGAAAGGAGCAGTCGAGATGCTAGTATTAGAATTCCTGGAAGTTTACATGATGTCTGTGGTTACGTTTGTCATTTTTATTTTATCTCAGTCGTTCCTGCGTTGTCCCTCAGTGTTATCCAGTTAGTGGATATCGCGAGACCCATTATTTGTTCTCCGATAGCTGTTTGTCGCCTAATGTTTTGGCTTCCTACCAAATAGCTTTTCCATTCGTTTGTCTTGTGTTCCAAAGACATCGTAATCCATGTTTGTGCTGGTCGCTCTTATTGTGTGAGTGTTGAAGTAGAACATCCGTCTTGTCATTTGACAAGAATGTCAACTCGGTCATAGTTAAGATGTGGACAGACTTTGGAGAGACGAACAGCTTATTTCTGGTAACCAATGCGGTCGTATTAGAGGTAGAAGTGGCCATTAGGTTATTGTATTAGTCATTGCTGCGCGTTGGCAGATGCTTAACTTGTTGTCTGCTTAAAGTATTCGAATTTGTTCTTTTTGTCAGTCGTTCCGATTAAATCTTCTCTTACATTTTCAGCTTGATCTGGAATTTGTGTATACACTTCTACAGCAGTATCTGTCACGAGACGTTCCGTCATCGTTATGCAACAGTGGTGTTAGTGGGGCTGTTGGAACTCAGGGCACAGTCAACTCAATTTTTGGTCTCCCCAGTCCTGCTCGTGTGGGATCTCGATGCAGACGACGAACTAAGGTTATGGTGAACCATTTGTTTCCTCATCGAAATAAGACATCACTTTTGTGTAACAGCAGCCCGCATGCGTTGGGCTCGGAAGCGCCAATGTACCACCCACGACCACCTAGTCTTCTGACTGCCGATGGGGATAAAATCAGTTCGCTTATCAACTCAATTGCAGATGAGCAACTGTCCGAAGCTAACAGATCTACGCTTCCGTCTACGGGTGTGCTTGAATCGATCTCACATGAATCCCTTGCACCAAGTATCTCACAACCGAGTTTGTCCCGGACAGGTTCCATGAACTCACATTCCCGTTCTCCGGCTCCCTGTCCTGTGGTTTTTCGTGGTCAGCATGGTTCAACACGTTCACTGCCAGTTGTCTGATAAATTGTCGGCAAATTATGCAGTTCGTGCATTTGACTTCCCATCTTTTGAGGTTCCAGTGGTACAATACTCGCATTTACTTCCTGGCAGCCTAACCAACTGGTTTTGATGCGCGATATTAACCCATCAACCAAAATGCAACGCAACGCAACGCAATAGTGTTTTTACCCCTTACCCGTTGTCTCGCCTATTTCGAACTGCTTATCTCTTTTTAGGGCCACATACTTGTTTTTTTTATTTCCCAAGGTTTTAAACGACCCTTAGGACTATTTTGGTTCCGATTGTATGAAAGTACGTTGTCCCCCATTTTCGACCGATCCGACGTCATCACCTGCTGCGCGTAAACTGAGGATGAATACGTTATTCAGTGTGCCACTACCACTTCTCATGTTCACTTTTTTCACTCTCCTAATGTTGTTTAGCCACTCTTAACCGTATACTGCTCTACATCTCCCTTTTAAGGTGTTTTCCACATCTATTTTCAGTTTTACTTTCATCAGTTATATTTTTATTGTTGTTTTAATATATCTGTTCCAGTATCTTGCTTTTCTCTGCCCTGGTTTGCATGCCTGAATGCATTTTTGTGCCCTGTGGTTATGGCAAGTGACGTTTCCCTAGATGAAGACACACCGGTAGTTGGTGATACTGACATGCACAGTCCATTCACTTAACCAGTTGCGCCCCTGCATAGAAACTGCTACCTTCAGTATGTCACCATCTCTCTCTCTATCAAGCAGATATAATCGTTCACCACCAGTGGTCTATCCCACTGTCACTTTCCATAGACTGAATGAAACTGTAATAGCTGGAACCAGTTTTTGGCTGACAGTCGGACCTGAACTTGTGTTTGACTGGATGTTTGGTTTCTTATTGCGCGTGAAAGTAACCTTTCCCTCAGCTTCTAACATTAAACAGTCATTTTGAACTCAAGAGTTTCTGCGTACCCTGGAAGTTATTTGCTCCATGGTGCTGGACGAACGGGCGTATCTAGCGCTTTCATTCATTTCCTAGTGAATGTCAATTCCATAGCCCTTTTATTTTTATATATTTTGTACATTAAATGCTATACTCATCGATTGTATAAAGTTATTTGGCGTTCACAGGAAAGTTAATATTCCTTAGAAAGTTCTTGGTTGTGCTCAGCTCGACACTGTGTGGTAGCTTGAGTGGCACGTGGATTATGATCGCGTGTAATTTATGTTGACTAGTTTTGCTGAACGGGTCTGGAAAATCCTTAGGTTTGCACAATCTTGTATTCATATCCCAGTTCTGCATGAAATTTTTTTGCCCGTTACATCTTGCTCACGATTACACTCCACGTACCTAATTACAGTTTCTCGTGCATAGTAAACTCTGGAAGTTATTGGAAATCTGAAGATTTGAACCATCAACTAAGCTTACCGAATGTTTTGCCTTTTGAGACATTTACTCGGAATGCTGTTGCCTTCTCCAGAATCGACCTGTAAATCGTGGAAAGGAGCAGGAGAAAAGTAGATTAATTCGTACCATAGGTGTCTGGTCGGTTAGCTCGTCACTCAGCCTGTAAGCTTTCTCAGTCTTGTGGGGCAGTTTTTTGACGTCGCATATCTTTCCAAGACTTAAAGTTCTGATAAATTATATTTCGTTTCGTCTATCTGTGCATCTCCGAAGCTTCAAGAAGGCTAATCTCATTACATTCCAGAAGCTCTCAACCCACATTAGTTGTTCCTTGGTACATCGATTTATAGCCCAATATATCATCTTGCAGTTGCCAGTTGTTTATTTGAAACAGAAATATAATGTCCTGCAAAAACGGCCCATAACTGAGGCATAATTCATCAACTGGTAAGGCGGTCACTCCGCCTGAATATTTATGTCCCTCTTTCTCCGTAGTATAGATGGAGTGACAAATATATTTTCCACTCCACTGCCTAGATATTGGTGTCTCCTTTGGTTATTAGCTGAATGTAACTACACTCTTTCTCCCTTTTAACGGGTATCCTCTCTGCCTGCAAAACCCCACGGTAGTCTCGAACTCTATCTTCACAATTGTCACTCGCTTCTACCAGACACTTCATTGCTGTTAGCCCAGTTTCAGTCGGAAAATCGGTCCCGTTTATGAGGTTTCTTATTTCAGCACCAAATGACTAGCCGGATCACAATAATGATCTCTCAATAATACAAAAGTCTCTCTTCCACGTCCCGCAATGTAGTTTTTCTGGCACAAGAATGTAGAACAGTGTTGCTAGTAACGTTAGGATAAGATCGGTCCCATCGGTTGCAAGGACGAACAATCTTTACACTGCTTCCGATACTTGTTTGTTGTTTGTTCAACCGGACGGGTGTCAACCACCGCAAGTTCGCGCAAGGCTGCTGGAACCATTTTCCCTTGTTTGAGTTCGGATTTTGGTTTCTCCACATCTTGCATTAGTCTTTATTTTACCATAAGCGAAGGTCAATTTCAAATTACTGTTGGCTCTAGTTTTGTTGCCTTTCCTCCAGTTCGAATTAAGACATATGTTGCTCCATCCCAGCGTTTTTTCATGTCAACTCGGTTTCGATTTTCTGTCAGCTAAGACAGGATGTTCTGAGAACCGTAATTTGTGGCTCAGTAGGCACTATCGTTCATTTAACCATAGCACTGTTGCTTCTGATCTGAGAAACAGATCGATTTTCACTGCATTTGTTGCCATCGGTTTCCTCATTCACTGCTCGGCTTGTGGATATATTTCTTCTGATCATCAGGACTTTGTGTTGAGCTTATGATTCTGAGCATTAATGAGCTTTTTACATTCCATATAGCATTACTCATGAGTACTCGAGAAGCCCCAGCCGCTTTTGCTGCCATTCGCAACCCGAACAGTCTGTTAGCAAGTATGCCTCAGAGACCTGCGCTTTCTGATGCGGCTCTGTTCTCCATTGTACTGACGGTGCGGGAGACCGGTCGACGTTTGGCCATGAGTGACTACGCTGTCGCCACTGCGTGCACCATCCTTCATCGTGCCTTACGAGTGCTTCTCACTGGAGATGAACAGCCCACCAACTCTTCCACCACTGTTTTGAACGGAGATACGAGCGCCAGTCCAGAGGCGATCGATCAATCGTTCCGTCATAGCTTGGGTGACATTGATCCTTACGTAAGTTCTGTACGCGTATCTTGTTCTCAGTAAGTGCGCGGGAAAACTTAACATCAATATGGGAAGACTGATCAAAATCTTTAGAGATTCCCTTGCCGTTCAGTTTGCAAATAACATCATCCCTTAATTAATCAGCGCATCGTTTCTCACATGTAGACTATCGCGATGGCTTGCATAACCCTTGGTGGAAAGGTCCAAGAGGAACATCAACGCCTCCGAGATGTTATTGTCGCTTTTTACCGGTACGTTTGTTCACTCCTTCTGTGGCCTTATCAATCCTATGTTGCTTTGTATACCAATTCACCCGGATAATTGGTAATGTACTAGCCGTGTTTGTTTGCGCTTTTTTCGACGTGGATCACAGAACTAAGTGAACTCAACTCATCAGCCAATTTGAGTTACTCTACTCTTCTGATGAATGCTTTTCATGTACACGCTATTCATAAGTAGAGAATTTTTGCTTATTAGACCTCGTTACCAAGTCTGTTAGCTTGTAACGAATCTTCTTAATGTTTTCGCTATTAGTAATTCTTCCAGCAGTTTGCTAGCGTGTATCCTAATCCTAAGCTCACATTCGGTTTTAGCCCCTCCGGTTTTGGTTGTTTGTCTTTTGCCAGGAGCTTGCACAAAAATCGTCGCCCTGCTCTTGAGGTTGGAGATGATTACGACAGGTTGCGTGAAAGCCTGGTGCAGACCGAATTGTTTCTTATGCGTTTGCTCGCCTTCCATGTTCGGCGCCCTTCGCTCCCACATCCTTACTTGGTTCATTATCTGCACTCGCTACTTCATTGGGTTGGAAAGGGGATTGCCCAGCCCTGTGGTGGTGATCTTACAGCAACCGGACCGAACAATACAGTGAACGCGGCGACGATTGCTTTAGCTCGCTTACCCGGTCTCGCTTGGTCCATTCTCGCTGATTCCTATCACTCACCCATTTGCTTGGATTTTTCACCCGAGCACATTGCCGCAGCCATCTTACACTTGGCTCTTAGAATTGCGGGTGTTGAAATCCCAGGAAATCGGCATTCCGAAATGGCTTGGTGGCAGGTGAGTTTGCGAGCATTCGGCTACTCTGACTGCTAATATTTGTGAATTGTATTTATCCTGCAAACGTAAGGAACGCTTAGACATTTGTACCATCTATAATTCATTTATAACTAGTATGCTCCTCCGTCTCCTGTATTCAATAAGGTATGCAACACTCAACTTCGGGTTACCTGTGGGTGTCCGTGTGTGGTCTCTGAATGAGGGACCTCTCTGTTTCCGTCAGATGAATCGCGAGATTGGATTATCAAATATGTTTCTCCTGCTATCGCACTGTTTAGCATTGTTTTTGTTCCACTGTCCTTCCCTTAGGCTATATCGGATAGCCTGACACGTGAAATTGTGGAACAAATACAACTTCGCGTGATGGAAATTTACGCAGTGGACGACAAGCTCAAAAACAGCATGCCGCACCGGTATTCGGACGACTTTTGATTGCATTTCCATGGTCCCATTTCTTATTGTGTTGGTACTGTATACAAGCTTTCCGAAGTCAAATTATTCTTTTTTTTATTCCTAGAAACTCTGTAACCGCTACCTAGTAATAGCGATTGGCACCAAGCGGTTTTAACTAGTCTTAAGGAATCACCGCGGGTTATCAGTTTAATTACGATCTGTGGGAACGACACCCTGTTTGGGGCGGGATAATGTGGCTTCCAATTGAATTGTGCAGCTTTGGTTCCAAGTTGTGGAGTGTGTCTGGTTTTCACCGAAGATTGCAGTTCAACACCTTCCTCTGAAACTGATCAACTAAATCAGACCGGTCATCCTGTCAGAGACACTGTTGAGCCTCATCAGATTTCGCCCAGTTTTTCACCATTTGCTGCCTTGTTTGAAGCGTTGCAGGTGACTGATTATCAAACTGTCTGTAACTCGGGAAAAGCCTGTTTGCTCCCAATGTTATTGTTTTTGCCATCAGTCGATTTTTTCCTGAGCATGCGATTAACTCCGCATACACCTCGGAGCACTAGCGTCTTCTGTAAATTGGTCGATGCCTAGGTGATTTTTGTTACTACTTGCTACTGACAAGTAGCTACACTTACTATACGTTACAAAGCTTGGTAGGACCACTTTTGGCTACAGCGAACCCAACATGAAAACGCCAAGGCAGGTATGTATTTGATCGTCTCCTTCGTCTTATTACTGCAACTCATAAAGTTGCCACAGTTACAGTGCGCGTCAATTCGAACTCTGATACTCGGATCAGCAACTCCCAAGTCATATCTGAATTGTGAAATCCGTTGATGTGAACCAGAATTAAAAGAGAAAACTGCAGATGTTAAACGTACCCCATGACATGGAAATGATGGCAAGCACCTGCAACTTATTGGATTTAAAACCTTGTTCACATAATCCAGTGGCAGCAACTGGATCATTCAGTCAGGCTTCGAATTGTTTTCTTTGGTTTTACCATTATTTGTGCATGCGAACGTGTGATGTCCAAGTGGGTGAGAATATCAATTGGCGTTCGGGAAGTACTTGCATCTGATTTGACTTGAAATTAGTGAAATCCGTTTGGGGCTGTAGGTGAATCTCGTTCATTACCTCCATTTAAACCTTAATTAGCACCTTGATATCACGAGGAAGAGAATAAACGCCGATAAGTTCGAGCATTAGCGAACCTGTATTCATTGGGAATTCTACATGATTCGTTCTCCAGGAGTCCAGTCGTTTTGCAGACCTTTCATATGAATCATCACTTGGCTGCCGAAGCAAGTTGTGACACTTCCATGGTGGCCTCCGCACTTAACAATCTGGTACGTAACTCATGATGGGGCTGCCCATATTCGTCACTGACTTTATCAAAGTGCCTTTAATCTTACGATTTGCTGGACATTTTCAAAGACAATCACTTAAATTTAAATTCGTGCTCGCACCAAAGAAGGTAGACACAATCACAATACGTTTTCACGTTGAATATTTGTACGATCAGTTGCAAAAGGTTGTGGACTGTGATGACCATGCTGGTTTTGCTTCGAATCAAACCAGTTGCTGTGACCGCTACTGAAGCAGTGTTGTCTTAACGCTGGCTTATATATAGCGGTCAAGTTGTTTCAGCGGTCGAACGATTCGGCATTATTGCAACACGACGGACCTAACCTGGTCACAATGAAAAAAGGCTACCATAAAAGAATGCGTGTTTTTTTCCTAACTCGTCGAAGTCATCAAACTATCTCATGGCTTGTATCCGCTAGAGGTCAGTTTTAATGAATAACGTGACTGGAAGAACATTCAATAGTGGACTGAGTGACCACAATTAATACCCATATAGGTAGGCGACCTTGGAGTAAAGTCGTTTTGTGCGACGGAAAGAGATGAAACCTGATGCCTGATAACTGTCCTTGACAAAGGCAAAAAAGCAGTTCCGGGAGGCGAAGTGCCATCTTTGTGGACAAACTCAAGTGTTGACTGCTAGGCTCCGTCGTCTTCGATGAATTCGGTTGATTGACCTGGGAAAGATATGGAAGGCTACTTCAGGCCTTACTTCCTACCACAATGGAACTCCAAAAGAAAAACTGGTATCACTGCTGTTGGAGGTTATATGAATGACAGGATAGTCGGTGAGTCAAAATTCATAAACATGAGGATGATGACCATCTGAATTCCGGTTATCAAGGTCGATGTTACCCATTTCTGTGAAGAAATATCTCTATTACGTCATCTGAACGCGAAAGAATATCACCATCCACTCCCCTATCCGATCACACCTGGATGTTTAAGCAACTCTGTTTTCGATGACTAGTACAACGTCGATAAGGTTGAGGAATTCTGTAACAGAAGGTTTGTGTAATTCAGAATCGGATCAATGAACGACATGTATATAGTAAAACACATGAACTCAATGCAGGGCGGATTTCCCTTGCCAGGTAGTTGCGTCCCGGGAGTAAGCAGGGACATCTGATCGTTGTACTATCGTATGGTAGGGAAATCATGCCTTAACACACCTTAGGAAAGTGTTGCATCCGAAAAAATGCCGCGCTGTGCACCAGGAAGCAGACCGGATTAAGTTGGATGTGGAGCGACAGTAGAATTAGGAAGTTAGATTGGAGTCTCACCGTCTGACGCAGGGTCTGGTTATTACGCACAAATATATTTGAGGAGCAGTGAGTTCGAGTACGAACACTTCTGATCAACGGCTGTGGATACGCCTGGGCTGAAAAAGGAACTAATATGAGGTCGGCGCTGTGAGAATGGCTCATCAGTATCCAAGACATGATGTTATTCATAAAAAAAAATCCAGGATCCAATAGGTATACAATCCGACTACCAAAGCCATGGTTCCCGGAGAAATATTTGGAGATATACGGAGTAATGGTCCTTATGAAACGAAGTGTTTTGGTGGTATGTACAATTCCTTAACGGATTGCATTGTCCAACATACAGAAACCAATCCAACAGGCGATAGACAAAAGGCCCGCGAAAGTTATTCCAGGTTAAAACACCGATTTTTGGCATTACACACTGTCAACTAGTAGGAATATATTTGAGCCATATAAGTAAGTTGGCCAAAATACCATTCAGAACTGCGTAAAGTTAAGAGAAGTTGACAATAAATGGATAAGTACTTCATCGTTATCCCTCGTACAACAAGCTTAATCGACTTGCCGCTGACCCTGTGGATGAAAATTCCATGAACAGCATAGCGGATTTCGAATCCGATGACTTACAGTGGGCTCCGTCTCTGCTGAAAGAGCGACAGAAGAAGGTCACGAACGGAACCAAACACTCCATGGAATACTTATGAAGTTTACTAAAGCCTTCCAGACAGTCTTAAAAGAAGCGTTATCGATCGTTCTGGACAAGCTTTACTGTGCAACTTCTTGAAGGCCCTGGCCTTTAAAGTTATATTTTTGAGTTCGAAATCGACAAGTAGGTTCAGCTAGATTGTCTTTTTTCCGTAAGACCTGACAATCCTGTACCCAAAGACCCTATGCGCAAAGTATCATAACAACTCAAAACTTGATTTGTTGTCATTTGTTCAGTTCAGTGCTTTTCTGTGCCAAGACACTTACATGAGGCTAAAACCTGTCTATCTGTAAGCGTTGTAAAGAACAGGTGGAAGGTCGTCAGGGCCAGCAGCACGATGACGCTTGAGTAGAGAAATGCATTCGGGCACTTCTGAGACTGAAGGCGGCTCCATATTCACGGTCCACCTTTCTGTTGAAGGCCTGGTTTCTGGATTGGAGGTAGCAGAAGGCCAGCTTAATCGCTGCTCGAAGTACTGTGCCCAGCGGTCCAAACGTTCTGCTTCACTGCATTATCAGGGAGCATTTTGGTCCCTGATTATTTCGCCGACAAGAGGTTTCCGAGGACCAGTCGAACGAATCAAGTGGAGCAGTTTCCAGCATTCTTTGCATATTCCTTTCTTATGCCATCACTTACCTGATGCCTATCTCACGTATGACGATTACAGCATCATTCCTAGGAAAATATGCTAATGGGTTAGTAAACTGGCAATGGGGGAATGACAATGTGGTTGCAAAGATTGTTTAGTGTCGGGCTGTCTTATCACATCATTCTATTCTCGTCAACTCCTTTTCTTCAGGTTTCAATCGGCATCAAAGATTTGCGGGAAACACCATTACTGACTCTGAGTAAACCGGTTATTTACAGACAACGCCCGAGTGTCTAGTTACTCAATGTGGATACCAACCATCCATGTTTATGCATAGTGATTTTGTGCACGCAGATAAAGCAACGTAGCATACACAGTCTAGCATCAAACGCGCTTGATTCCAGACTTTGTGACACTTTATGGTGTAAACTGAGAGTCGCATAACACTAACTGCGCATATGGTTGTGCCATGGGTCCGGAAGTTATCCACTGCAACAACTTGTTCGCCGATTTCATTGGTTTCACACCGATTTGTGCGTGTGCATCTTGTACATCCTTGGGTAGCAGAAGGTAACTGGAAGTGTGCGGTCTTTACATGCTAACTCACTCTTCGTCGATTCAAGCTATGATCGCGATACGCCTCATTCCGACTAACAACTTTCCAGTATGCATCTGAGAGCGGCGCGGTTGCATTTGATATGCACGCTGGTACAACTTATCGGTAGGTAGATTACGTGAGAACTGAACACCAGTCAACCTACAGGTTTGCCAGGTCTGATCCACGGTCGAAGTTGGCGGGTGGGTGTACCAGCCGTGAGTTCTGTTACCTTCGTACAGTTTTTGTACAAAGCACACTGGCAAATTTCTATAAAAATCGGCATTGTGTTTGTTGTAATCCGTCTTGTATACTGCAGGTAGTATACTTCTGGCCACCTGTTATTTTTGCATAGCCTGGCACCCTGTCAACTTGAGTTTCTTACTCATGAGGCCACTCTAACGAAGCTCAAATGTTGGATTTTAATGCGTTAAAATGTCGCACGAGCGCGCTGCGGCTGGTACGTACACAAAATAATAATTACTTAACGGACCAAATGAAATATTAAAACATCCTTTGGTGTCGACGTAGTGCACTACTCATAAGATTGCTGAAGAAAGTTGATTAAGAACACCATGAACAGGGGATTCAGCTGGGTGACAAGTGAGTCCCCCGTCAAAAACCAAACTGGTATGCGAATGAGGCATTTTACCATTCCTTTGGTATCTGTTTTGTAGAATTTTATCGAATTTGTGAGAAAACATCCGTCTATGTTTTTACAATTTCTTTGTTGTTATCGACTTCAGATTCTAGACCTTCCATATACTTCACTCAACAGGCTTTTCCGAACCCTGAGCCGCCTAGTCTAAAGAATGCATTCTCGTTTTAATAGTCAAAATTTCATGAAGCGTTATTATGTGAGGACATTGTATCTTCACTTAAGGGAGAAAGGGCTAAGAGAGAAGGGGTATAAAGTGACTATTAAGGGGTATTTGCAATCAGCTGACCCATGCCCTGATATAATTGCTCTCCGAACCATCACGGTGCTTTCGTGGTGAATGCAGTTACGTTTTTGCTGCTTCCTGAAGTCACGCGAGTTACACGCTAATTCATCTGAGTAGTACAGCGTTAACTTTTCCTCATCATGAACCCTCATATTTTCCCATTCGTTTTTCCAAACCATGTGTTCTTCTGACCGCTTCAGTCTGCTTCGCATTTGGATCAAGTGCAAACAGAAAAGTCGCCTTGATCTCATGCACTTTTATGGTCATTTATGGTCGACGGTGAACTAACTCTGAAGCTTTCATGGATAGTGAGAGTCTTTTCCAACTTCAATTCCTTCGTTATGTGATCAGACGCATCCCATGGTAGTCATCTTTTCGCCTTTCTAGACCTCTCCTTCGTAATTCCTTCGAGACTTTTAAAGCAATAGTCCAAAAGATAGCAATAAATGTGCTGATGGTGGTTGTCGATATTTTTACTTCAAGTGCACCCGTGTTTCTGCCAATCTCACATTTTTCAGGCTAACATTTGTATCCTTATTTAGGATCCGAGAGTGATATATATATATATATATATATATATATATATGTGACTCAAGCAGACACTGTCACT